TCAGAAAAAATTTGTCACTGTAGAGTTTTCTGTGTTTTTGACACTGTTTCACTTAATTAGGTACGGAATAACAAGAAAATAGCAATCTTGGTAAAAGAGGTCAACACCAAAAAGAGACTCTTCATGGTGTACAGACCAAACACAGGGAAACAGCTTAAACTAGAGATGTACGCAGACATTCGGAAGAGATGTAAAAAGGTAATTTCTCCTTACTGTCTGCTGATTCCAGTTGCTTTCTTAATATCAAAACAAATTGTACCCTTGGCATATTGCAATCTCTCTTTGGCTAAAACACAAGCTTCACTTTTGTTTTTTAACTTAATCTCAAAATAGGTCCTTTCAGATGATGCCAAGCAGCACTGGATTGATCAGTACAAGTCCTCAGCAGATATTTGCTCTCATGCCTATTGGTGAGTGTCTTGATGTTTGCAGTCAGTGTGTTTTTAAACTTTTCTGAAATTGTATTTTTTTTTTTTTTAACCCACAATAATTAACAGTTCAGCAGCAGACAGTATTAATGTTTGGTTTTCATGTTGCTGACAGGCGTGGGAACTGCAAGAAGGCCTCAGTGGGACTGCAGTGTGAGATAGGGCTACGCTGCAGGACATACTACGTTCTCTGTGGCTCTGTCCTAAGTGTGTGGACCAAAGTGGAGGGAGTCTTGGCGTCTGTCAGCGGAAGCAATGTGAAAATGCAGATAGTTCGTTTGAGAACCGAGGACGGACAGCGAATAGTGGGTGAGTTATACAGTCCACAGTGTTCCCTGTATGTATATACCATCTCCCTTGTGGTGGTGTTGACCTTTTTGCCGTGTTCTGCACAGGCCTAATCATTCCAGCAAACTGTGTGGCTCCCCTGACCAACATCCTGTCCTCGTCAGACCAATCTCAGCAACTGGCAGTGCAGCAGCAACAGATGTGGCAGCAGCTGCACCCACAAAGCATCAGCCACGCAGCCAACACCTAGCACGGCTCTTGGGTCCAGAGCAGACACAGGACCCCAGCTCTGCATCATGAGCCAGCCTCCCCTCCTCTGCCTCCCTGCCGGCATGCTACGAGGAAGAATGCCCTTGCGTGGTATTAAATAATTCAGGGTTCATGTCCAAAGATGGCTCAGTCCCAAAAGGGGCTTGCTGGACTACTGACTCAAAAGCTGGAAGGCCTCCCAGGTTAGAGAGGCAGCAGTGTGAGGACGCATTGGGAGAAGGGGAGATATTGGTTTAGGCTGCTCTGCCTTTTTAGGGCTTTCTACCACCAGTCTGCCTGCCTGTGTTCACCACTGATGACATGTTGTGTAAAGCAGGCTACGAAGTCACCCATACTTCTTGTTTTGCACAGGTCAGCGCTCAGGGGTTAAACGTCATCAGTTTTTTCCCCTCCCTCAAAATGTAACGCATGCTTTGCCTTAGGTTTGGAGTCCCATCCCCCAACCTGCGCTGGTCTAACCACTTAGAGGAGTATTTCATCATTCTTGCATCAAGACTTGCTCTTCATTTGTTTTTGTTGTAAATCTGATCAGTATGTTTTGTTGTTTTGGAGGTGGTAATGGTGTAGAAATGTAAATCTGCTTCTTGGAGACTTAGTCTGAGGCTGTAGCTTTATTCAGTTTAAAGAATCTCATGTTCTCATAGTGAATTTACCACTGTTTCCCTGGTTAGCGTACTTTAAGTTTTAATTATAGGACAACCCCAAGTTATTTTACCTTATCTAGCTTTGCCAAATTGATAACATTTATGTGTACAATCACTCTGGCAGACTTAGTTGCTGAGCTGGTTTTACTCATAGCCAATTTTAGACTTTAGTCCAATACTTGCCGGGTCCCTTTGGAAGCATGTCTGCACCATAGGCCACCTCCATGCACTTACAACTATCAAGATGAACTGCAAACTCTGTAAGAGTTTAACACGTCTTGGTACAAAAATGGTTGAATATCCCTGCAATACACTCCCAAGGAAAGTGCTGGCTCATCAATGGGTGATAAGTAAAATAATCTCTTCTAAAGACTTCTTGACTTCTGCCATCAGGAACTGTGATGTTGCATGGATTAATCAATTACTTGGATTTTTATTTTTTCTATTTAGGAAAGGAATGGTAAGGTCAATGTCAGAAGGTTTTTTTTTTTCCCCCTTCTTTCTCCCTTTCGTTTTTCTGCTTTGCTCTGTTTTAGTTTTGCATATTTAAGCAAGGTGTTGACCGAACAACATGAAGTTACAAACTGGAATATCCTCTGCTCAGCAGTGCCCAGCTTTTGGTTGCTGCATTTCCCATTTCTTGCTTTTTAATATTTGCTGTCATATGAAAACATTTAATGTACCTGGGCCGAAGGACTATAAAGCCTTTTCCCCACCTCATTTTTTTTGCTGTAAATGTTGACAGGGTAGGTGCAAATGCTAGGTTTTCTCATTACTATATCTGTGTATAGTTGCATATCTAAAGTCATGTTTTGCTTAAGGTATAGATGTTGAAACACTTTAAAGACAATGTCATTTCATCCTTGCACGAGTTGCACTACTGATGGATCTGTTGTACAAAGAAACTATGTACATTTGAGCTGAGTGCAAGATCTCTACCTCTTGCATATGACCAATAAATCTTGTCGTTAACTTAAAACTAGTGATTTCTGACATGACACGTGATGATATTTACTGAGGGGAAAAAAATACTACCACATATATACACCACAGCAGAGAGCTCTGGTATGTTCTCATAGCATCTCCATTCAAAAGCTCCGTATCTGCACCAGTGTTTTCTAACATTGTGATGGAGGTTTGCAAGGAGTGTGGCAGATCTGATCCTGGATTCGCTGTGCTGTTTTCAGATGCTTTGTGATTTATCATCCCAGGGTCTGTACTCAACAGAGAGTAGGCATGCTGATCTAGGATCAGATTCCACTTTTACTGTACTGACAAGCACAGATCCTAGAGCAGGGACTGTATTTATGAAGCTTCTTACAGTATTACTGACCTATATGTTTTGGTTAGCGAGGTCAGAATAAAAATGACCGGAATCTGATCCTAGTACTCCAAGAAGCTTTGTGAACACAAGCCAAGAACTACTGAAGTTTTGAGTAAAGACTCCAGGTCTTTTAATGGGTCTTCAGTACAATGTGTGAAGTCATATAAAAAAGGACTAGATAGATGCATCATTTTTGCCAGTTTCCTTTTTATTTTCAGTAGATTCTTTGGTTGAATTGTCTCTTTACATAGGAAGTGTGGTTCCCAATTTGAAACCCCCCAAAAAAGGAACAAGGTAACAAATTAGTGACTGACAAAGTCTAGTTATGTGTTACAATTATCCCTGAAGAAAAGGCTTTCTAAAGAAATATAAAGGAGATCCTCATACTGTTTGCATGCTATCATTGGGATTGTATTCACATTTGGTGATAAATCTGTTTCACTGTAACAGCATTTTACAGTACAAGATCATATTTGAGTTGACACCTTGACAAGAACCCTGATAAGTCACTATGAAGCTGATATTTAAAGGAGCCCATATCATGATAAACTGAATATTCTTCAATTTTTTGATGTAGTACATAAACACTGTTAAAGTTTTCACTGCTTTTGCAATGTTATGAAAAAACCAACACATTTACATATCTGCCTATTGTGTTACAGACCGGACTGTTTTTTTGGGTCGCACTACAGTTCAGCTCAATTACATGAATCAATCTAAAAAGCACAGTATCAAAAAGAGCCTGTGTAATTCTATGGGATACACAGAGCTTGGAAAATGGTCATGTAAAAGTGATTTATGACTCCTTTTTTAACACACTAACCCACATAAATGTCAGTGGACCTCAGAGGAGAATTAAAATGCAGGAAGACTGATGTGGGCCCTTTACATCTTTGAGATGTAAACAGTCATTCAGAGTGGTGTGATGTGGTTCATTGCAGATAAAAACTCAGATTTCTTTACACTAGTGTCCATGTCTGCAACAGAAATATAGCCTTTTTTGTTTTACGGTACACGACCACCAGTGAAACTAGACGTGTCTTCTGAGTTTCCATGTTTTTATACGTGATGTTAATGGTAAAATATTCACAAATCTGAAAAATAGGTATAACAGGTATATAAAAAAAAAGTTTCCTTTGTGGACTATTTTACCTCACAACGTCGTGCATGTATACATCCACCAGGACTTGATTAAAATAAATGGATTAAAATATATTTAGCCCAAAACTTTATTACAAAACTATCATAAAACAATGTGTGAGGCGTCAGGCAGCATATATAACCATTTCATTTAATGACTTTCAGAGGCATTAAACTCTTCAGAGGTCTGGTTCCTATCACCACCGCTGTGAACAATTCTGACTCTTCAGTTTCTCTAGAACGGAACATTTCACACCAAACCACTCTGAATGGCTTTGTTTACATCTCAACCCTTTAATTATATATCATTTTTAAAACATCAGTTGTGTTCCACCTTTTATACTCCGTCCCAAACAGCCACTTGGGGAAAAAAACTGACAATTTCGAAACAAAACCGGTTAATGTTAAGAGTCAGTCTGTGAAAGCCACCATAAGAACCACATTTCCAAGAGGTCAAATGGTTCTCTTATTAGGAACATTTCGCCATGTACCGTCACAAGATGAGTGGTTATACATTTTGGATGTTCCTCTTAAACTTACAGTACTTAGTATTTTTTCCTCAGCGAAGTTAAAAATGTTACTGCATAAGTCAATAAATGCAGTTAAACAGAATTGGGGAAAATAACGTTACATCTGTTCGTAAGACCCGGGTCTGAGGCGATTTAGCTGAATTACGTACAAGTTGTCTTTTTAAGCATTTGATGATTTAATAAACGTGCTCATCAAAAACGTTTATTTAAATGACAAAGTTGAAGGTAATCTTAAATTTAAAATGTTCTTATAACTTTGTCGAAAACTTTATGATTTTGTTTGGAGAGAGTCCAAGACGAGGCGTTTAAAAATGTTTTTAGTGCCGTAGTAGTGTTTTATCTTTGTAATGATGGATTGGATAGTGGGTGTCAATATAAGTGACGGCCATATTTGCCGGTGCTGCTCTGCTGTAAACAAAAAGTGTCTGTGAGACGGACGCTTCGCCGAATTTAGGGACATTTTTATTTCTGTAATTTAATATGTCTTTAGGAATGTCTTACAAACCTAACCCCCACCAGCACATTCCAGGAACTTCTGGGAACCAAGGTGAGCGAAAAAATGCGAGAAAGTGTTGAGTCTTCGACACGTTATGTCGAGTGTAAAATTTGGCGTTACAAAGGATACCTGGGGAAAAAAGCCGAGTGTGTAGTTTTAGTCCAGTCAGACAGCTAAAGGGTCAGATCCTGAGAGCAATCCGCCATTATTACTACTGAAAAAAGAGGCTCTCTCGGTGACGGTTGGAGAAAATGAGAGCGTGTGGTGGTTATATCGATCCTGCTTCAGGAGTCCGTGTCATTTGTCGGCCGAATAGGTTTGGGTGGAGGCCGCTACAGTCTGATAAAAAAATGTCCTTTTGGCTGCTAAGATCAGCGCCGTTCCGTTTCCTCCATGATAGTCTCTCCAGGGCGGTTGATTGATCGGATCTGAATGGGCTTTTTTATTTCTCTTTACGGACATCTAGCGGTCGAGGACGGTACTGCACTTCGTGGAGTCCCTGTAAAAAATCCCAACACTGAAAACGATACTGATATTTAAAGGGGAATTCAGACCAAGTCATTTAGAGTAATGCGAAAAAAATTGAGTAGTAAGAAATGCGCTCTTTTAGAGAAGCTTACCGAATCGTTCACCGTAGTGGTGGTAGGAACCAGACGTCTGAAGTGTCCCAGGTATAGAAGTCCGTTTCCGCCACTGGAGAAAAAAATATAGCCGTTTAGTAAGTCGTATTAATGAGAAGGTTTTCCATAATTATGACTTAGTATCTCATAATAATGACCTAATGTCTCATAATTTTGACTTGCTGTCTCATAATGAGTTGATGTCTCATAATAATGCGAAACTTTCTCATAACTACGACATAACATCTCATAATAATTACTTCCGATCTCATAATGAGAATTTTCTAATGATTATGAGAAAGTAAGTCGTAATTCTGAGAGGTTAAGTCATAATCATGAGAAAGTAAGTCTTAATTATGAGATGCTAAGTCGATTATAACAGAGTAACAGTTAAGCCATTATAATGAGACAGTAAGTCATAATTATGAGATGCTAAGTCGTAATTATGACATTGTAAGTCATAATTATGACATAGTAATTCATTATGAGATACAAAGTTATATTAAGTCATACTTGTGAGATTGAATCTCATTATTATGAGATAGCAAGTCAAAATAATGAGATGCTAAGTTGTAGTTAGGAGATTGTAAGTCATAATTATGACATAGTAATTCATTATTATAAGAGGTACTAAGTCATAATTATGAGATCCTAAGTTATACTTATGATATATTAAGTCATAAATATGAGATTGAATCTCATTATTATTATAATGTTATGCTAAGTTATATTTATGAGAAAGTAAGTCATAATTATAAATGAGCAAGTCATAAATACTTGTGATAGTTATGCAAAACTTTCTTTTTACTATGACTCACTAAATGGCTGTATACTTTTTTCCAGTGGCGGAAATGGGCTTTCATAGAAATCAGACAAAGTTACTCGGAGTAGTTTGATGCGAAATGCTCCGTTTTAGAGAAGCAAACCGAATTGTTCACAGTGGTGCTGATAGGAACAAGAACAAGGATGGTACAATACTACTTTCTCGTTTACAATAATATTGTTTCTTTTTAAAACTACTGATTTTTAAATGAGCTACTTTTATCTGAAACGTTTCAAAGTAGGCCAAAATAGAGCATCTTAAAGTAGGGTATCATGCTAAAACTACTGAGACACCCTACTGCACCACAGGCAGAAATGCACAACATCACATTGCACAGTGTGAGTGCTATTTCAGGATAGATTTGGTACAGTACTGGATCACATTCATTTTTTTTTTTACTTCGGTATCTGATTCAGTATTTTTGAACTGATATTGGTATGCATCAATACCAAAATGCAATCTTTACTTGTGCATAAAGTGATGTTTATACTTTGTCCTTTTCAGCTGGGAACATCCCCTCTCCCTCTTCAAACATCTCAATGGTTCAGTCTTATAGACCAATAATAAATGATTTTGGACCACCATCATTGGGATTCTTACAGGTAGGTGATGGCCTCTGATAAGATATAGTTTGAATTTACTGCTTTCATTTAAAAATTATGTACTTAATAAAACAACTGTCCATCAGGAAAGCCAATCATTTCTCTATGTACAGGGGCCGAATGGGACTCAACCGCCCCAGAGCAAATATGCAGAACTCCTTGCTATCATTGAAGAGCTTGGGAAAGAAATAAGGCCGACGTATGCTGGAAGTAAAAGCGCCATGGAGCGCCTCAAAAGAGGTATTGTTATTATCTTCTCAGATTTCATTTGTATTGTTTAGTTTTATACTGTCTGACGCAAACATGTCTTGTGTTCCAAAGGTATAATTCATGCAAGAGGACTCGTACGAGAGTGCCTGGCGGAGACTGAAAGAAATGCAAGATCTTAGCCACGGAAACCTGACTCTCATCAAAGAGCAGAGGAATTCTTTACTACTCTCACACAGGAGTGCTGCATGGCTTTCCCACAACAGAGGGATGAAACAATCAAAAAAATTATGCTTTGAGTATTGTAGTTAAGTCATGGGTTGGAGGCATTGCAACATTCATCGTCTATTCGATGAATGCTTAAGAGATGTTGAATTTATGAGTGTTGCCATTTGAAGTTTTCTTTCTCTTATTTCTATTATTATACATATATATTTTGCCACATAGCATCTTTAAGAACAAACAAGTGAAACTGCATGCAAAGGACAGATGGACCAGAGTTTGAAAGTGCATGGCTTTTACAGGTTTATAGTAGAGATGTCCTCTTTCATAAAATTTGATGGGATCAAGCTATTGGTCTTTTTTTTGTTCATAATTGGGATTTACTGAGGGTAGTTGTAGTTATACCATTATGTTAGTCTTTTTTATTTATTACCTTGTGTAATAAAATGTATTTTCATGTAAAAAAAAAAAAGGTCACTTTTTGGAATTTTGTATAAACGTCAATAAATATGACATTTGTTGTGTACAAGATGCTTTTTATGTACTATTTCCCAATATTTAGCCAATATTCCGTTTTCTGTTTTACAATGATTTTTTTTGAAGTAATAATTTTATGGGAAATCAATTAAAACCCTATAGGTCTGATTTCACACAGTAATTTATAGGACATTTAATATGGCTTTGTTTAACTACATAACAGTTTCTATCACGCGAGCTTCATGATTTTTTCTAAAGTGCCTGTTACAGAGGGGAAGACAACAAAGCGACCAGTCAGCACTACTGTTGTGTTCTTGAACGTGCTGAGCACGGTGTCTTCCACCAATCACAATTCAGAAGTGGCGTCAAACACTGGCTCGGCCAATCAGCTCGCAGCTTTCGAAAACCGTTTCAACCAATGGCGTCGCGCGGCGCATTGTGACGTTGTGGGGCGGTGATTGAACGTTGATGCTGCGCATTATAGAGATTCAGTTTAGGAAACCGATTCTTTGAAAGTGCGTCCGATGCAACGATTCATTTTCGATGTGATGGAAGTCACAGCATACATACACATACCATGCGTGTACAAAACAGCGTTCAAAATTAAAGGTGAATTCCACCATTGTTTCAGAATTCTGCATAATTCAGAGACTGAGATGTAAACAAAGTCATCCAGTGTTTTTATGTGAAATGGTGCACTGAAACTCGCTGACTCTTATCTTTACAGCTGTTGTGGTGTTGCTCTAGGGCTTGCAATGTAGAAAACGCCAATATAACTACTTTATTTATGACCAATGAACCTACACTTGTGTTGTAAGTTTTTATTAGTAATTATAGCAACGGAAAGCAGAAAATAGGAAAAAAAGGTTTGCTTTTGGGGACTATTTTGGCCTACAACGCCCTGCAAATACCTTGCTTTATGCCAAAAAACCTTTGCTCAAAAGCATTGTAAAATAATGTCTCAGACATATTCATAACCATTTCATGTAAGTTTCTGTGTAACTTTTAGATGCATTAAAATCTGGTTCCTATCACCACCACTGTGAACAATTCTGACTCTGTAAGTTTCTCTACGGAGCATTTCACACCAAACCACTCTGGATGACTTTGTTTATATCTCAACTATTTAATTATGCATTAATGTGAAAAGAATTCTGAGGAATCCACCTTGAAACATAGCATTCTGTTCACACCAATAAATCAAAATGAAGTTTTGTAACTTTATGTAAATTGTAAACAAAATTTATTCTAAGCCGTCGCCAGTTAACACGGACGAAAACTACAAATTTAAGTTCGATTCACTTGGACTTTGACTCACTTTGAATCGGTTCGGCCGGTTCACTTAAAAGAACCGGTTCCAAAGACGAGTCATTTAGGAGTCGGACATCGGTTAGCGCATTCGGGGGGGAAACGTCAAAATGGGAGAAGTGGCAATACAAGTTTACAAGTGAGTCTAGCTTATTTCACTTCTGCGACAACTGTATGAGTTTTGGTGCCTGTTTATTCGGAGCTGTTGTGGTTTAGGGGCTAAGTCGCGCTATCGAAAGGTGGCCGTAGCTGCAAAGGTGATCTCTGTCTTCACATTTGTCTCTGCCGCTGTAGTTAACGTTAGCTAGCGCGCTAAAGGAAGCCCGTTAGCAAACATTAGCTGGTTAGCTCCCTTCTTAGCTTCGGCGCCGTTCTGTACTTGCTTAGTTCTAGAGCTTCCAGCGGTTGAAACCCTAAAGCCTACCTTCAGGGAGTCAGCTCTATTCCACTGAACAGTCTGTATGGGGATGAATAATGGTTGTATAGGCTGCAAGTCCACGTAGCCCGTGAATTTCAGCTGGGTAGCTAGGGCTTGAATGTCTGCAAACTATGAAGTTTTGGAGTCAGCTCAGTGAGAATGTCGTTTTCTTATTGATATTAGGGACTGTGTTCAATGCTCAATTTGGTCCCTTGTGTATCATTTTGACGCAAAAAGCTACTTTGCTCCTCCAGCAGTCTTTCTGTTGGTGTTGTACAGCTGCTGCTGGAGCAGTGCATTGCTCTTCATTCTTCACAGCTCAAACAAATCACCTGTCATTTAACCTGATGTGTGTAAATGAAAGTAGTTTTTCTGTGCTACTTCTTAAGCTGCTTTGTGGAGGATACTGTTTCTGTTCTAATCTTGTCTAATGTCACATTCTTGCTGCCATACTTAGTGCTGTAGAAGGTGCATGGAGCTTATTTTTGTTTTGTCTGGTAGGTCTCAAATGCATCCTTCTAGCCAGGCCGCTTAAGCATGTCCACAGATGACAGCATCTCTGAGGACGTGTCCAGCTCCGTGGCTCTGAGCCATGACCACACTAGTGCCAGTGGTGGGAAGGAGAGTGAGGCCTCCATCGTCTCCTCCGAGGACACCGTGTCGGGCCTGGCTATTCCTGAGAAGGAGCGCCCTGCAGCCCGCCAAGTGCAGACCCTGGAGGGTCTCCTCCAGGCCGCTGAAGGGGCTGTGAAAAGTCGACCCTCAGGCACACCAGCATGCAACATTTCCCACAAAATAAGGTCTGTGGCTCCTTGCTCTTTGCTCCTTGCTCTTTGGGATGTCTTTGTTTTGTGTTTTCTGGTACACGTTGAATGCTCTTCAGGCATAGTTAAACTGGGGAGAAAAAGGCTTTTCTTCTCCGTATCACATGCTACAGGAATCTGTGTCTTCGCACCGAAGAGGAGTTCAGCTCAGGGAGAAGCCTGCCCTTCATCAACCCCAGTTCTTTGGAGACACTCCGTGCCCTGGTGCATGAGATCCAGAGCAGTGGAGAGACGGACCCTGAGATCTGGAAGAACTGTGAGGTAAGTAGGATGCTGAGAGAGAAAGAGAAAGAATGATTTTTGGTTCTCTGTGGTGCTACAAAGCAGCCAGCAACCCAGATGTCTGGGTCATCGTCTGGGGCCTCCCCCAGGACTCCAGCTGACAGTAGCAGCAGCAGCCACGCTGACAGACAGCTGATCCCTCCGCACCCCAATGGAGTCCACAAGTGAGATGATAATGTCACTTCGACTGTGATGTTAAAATGGCATGTATCCTCAAAGCTGCAGAGGGTTTAAGCCTAAATGTTATCTTACAAAAGTAATTGGTTTGGTACAAAAATTTGCATGTTTATATTAAACAGTAAGACTAACCAAATGCGTTGAATAGGTCTCTCGTTAACACACAGTGCTAATGGGCTGGGAGGGTGAAGTCTAGCGCATGCTTCCACTGAATCTTTTCAAACTGCCCCTGATGCAAAGTCATTGGTCAGTGGGCTTAGAGGAGACTACTACTTGCTAATTTTGTACATCAGCTGCCAGATGCCCTTGTTGGCTAGGCCATCCTAGCGCATCCCCAAAGAGAGTGAAGCCAGTAATGCCCGCTTGAACACCCAGCTGCGGACGGCTGTGGCATTGCCGGAAATCAGACTCACTATTTCTCAACGATGGGGCTAAGACTTAGATGGCATGTTTTTTCTCCTCGTAGTCTTGCAGTCACAGTCAAAAGTACATAGAAGCACCACCATTATTATTCTGATAAATGATGGCACAACATGAATTTCTGAGTATATCATGGATACAATCAGTATTTCTAAGACACTAGATGACCAGTGTATGCTAATTAAAGAGCCTGTACACAACAACCAAAGTATAGTAAGTATAGTAACGGCATACTAGCAAGTAGCTAATTAGCTGTGAGCCTGTTATGCTATTATTATTTTTTGGATTCATTTATTTTTACCAGTTGTTGAGTTTTTTGGTGTTCCCTCTTAAACAATTTGTTGTTATAAGTGTTGAATTTAAATAGATTATTCCAAAATTTTAAGTTTCTTCCAACTTATTTAGCAGAAAACAAGAGTATTGTGATCTATAACACATGCAGCCTTCATCTCCCAGACAGGAATTAAGACTAGTCCTGGACTACATTTTCCTTTCAGTGGAGAATCTCCTTTCAGAATGCTGTGTAGTCTAGGACTAGACCTAATACCTGTCTGTCTGTGTATCGTTTTTACCATTAAATTTATCAAAGCGTGATCTCACTCTAGCATTGTACAGTACTCCCCAGTCAGCATTGTTGAGCAGCTTAGCATGGAGAAGGTCTAGCACACTGCTTTTATCACAGGGACTCAGGAGCTCTGCTGTCCACTTGAGTTATGGCCTGTTGCACTCTTGTGGACTCTCAATCATGGATAACGAAAGGTCTCAGTGAAATTAAAATTCAACTCTGCATTGTAAAATTTATGCGTCAGTTGATCAGGTTACGCATGTGCCACATCTTCTCTATTCTATCAATAAAATAACAGAAAGGAAGATGGGCTTGTGTTTTTTTCTATCTCCTCTTCTGATTTACTTCACGTTTATAGAATCTGTGTGTAATATGTGCATTCTGGTGTGCTTTTAAATGTGTTACTGTTACTAAGGACAACTTCATCCAAAATGGTTTTAGATTATACTAATGTAATACTAATAACGTTAATCATGAATTAACACTAGTGTCACAGAGTATCATGTTAATGGTTTTCTAGATAGCTTTCCTTGAGTGTTGGCATTTTGGGGGTGAAGTACTCCTCTAACAACTGTACTTTACTGTGAAAATAAAAAAAAAAAACAAAAACATTTGATGATGTCCTCATCAACTTTCTCTTTCTTGTCAAACAGGGTAGATGGCTGCATCTCTTTCAGCTGGTGGAAAAGCAATATCAAGAACAAATTCTTGCTCAGCAAGAACAGTATCAGTGCCAAATACAGGTCAGTTAAAGAAGGAATTGGAACGATACCAGGTTTTGCAGTATGTATCTCTTTTTTTTCGTGTGTTTGAATTGACTTTGGCTTGTGTGTGTGTGTGTGTGTGTGTTTGCTCGAATGAGGTCTTCTGTCAGTTTAGTGTGGGTGTATTGTTTTTAGATCATTGTATACTGCCCCAAGTTTGAAGCAATACAGAATGCTTATGCAGGCAGAATGCTATAAGCTTTCCTACCTTGCTTTCCTAATTGTGTCTTAGAGTAAATGAAGTCATTAATCAGTATAGAAGAAGAAATGTGCTTAGTACATTGTGCTCTTTTCTCACAGCTCATCCAGGATGAGATTAAAGCATTAGTGCAGCTACAGAACCGGCAAAGCGGTGCACAGACACACCCCTCAGACTCGTCCCCATGTGAGGCCAAGGTTTCAGAGCCTCTGGTGAACTTAACGAACGAGAGCCAAACTTTTACCCTAGCTCCGGGACATCTGTGTCCCCAGCAGCTCACAGTCAATCCACAAGAAAGTTCGGATGAAGGGCTGGTGACTGTCCTGAGCAGCGGCTATGGTACGCTTTCTGCCTGGGAGGCTGGACTGGAACCAGGTGCGACTGAGGGGAAGGATGAGGCTCCTTGGTCCCCCAAACAGCTGGACTGCAGCCTTCAACATTTGCCCTTAGTTGAAACCAGCCTGCATGGGCAGGATAGTGTACCGAGCAGAATATTACCTCCCAATAATGCACCTCACACAACTGCCTCAACTGTGCCAAGTCCCTCTGCTGACAAGCAGAGACTAAACAGGTGGGTTTCTCTTGCATAGAAGTAACCCTAAGAGTTTTGAGTCTGTTTACTCGAGTAAACAGAGTAGCTGGTTTATTAGGTGCACATACCTTGTGACTACACTCATTCAGTCCTTTTACCAGGTCCGACTATCATATAGGTGGTAGGCATACAGTTACTGACAGTAGCCCACCTGGTACTGCACAATTTATCACCCACGTCCATGGCCTGATTAATCATATAGGCTATATAGGCTGTAGCTTAGGGCCTCGCAAGTGCAGAGCGTTGGATCAGCGTGTTGAAAAAACAAGTTTAAATGTGTTTAAACATGCGTTCAGCGTAAGTAGGAATGTACATGAAAAATATTAAGTATAGGCATCGCACCACAGTTCTCATATTGGTGCATCCCCGTTAGCAGGTATACATTTAGAAGGTATAGTGCATCTTTTCCATTTTATGTTATGTTTTAACCCAGGCGTGTCAAACTGGGTTTTTTCTTGGCCAAATCCCTGCAGAGATTAGTGGAGATGACTCTCATTTAACAGTCTAAATTCGGGTGTGTTTAATGAGACACAATCTGCAGTGCTGTTCCCCATGAGAACTGGGGTCCGACAGGTGTTCTAGACCTTCATCAGTGGTCAGTTTCTGACCATTGTTGGATGAATATTTTTGGCAGGGGGACTGTTATCTGTGGGCCAATAATAAATATTATTGAATGCTCTGGTAATGGTGGCAGTATAAGTAAGCGCAGACATTATGCAGGTGATCATTCTTTAGTTCACTTTCACGTGGGTATATGTATGTTGCTTTGTCTTCAGTTAATCATTCCCATTGAACAGTTATTCTAATGTGTGATTACTTTGAATGCTGAATGGAAAGAACATTGTAACGTAGATTTTCATTCTTGCAAAGAATGCTGGGGTATGTGCAAATATAACAAAGAAACTCTGGTATATGAGATCTACTCACCAGTAGAGTGTGAAATGGTCACACATGTTCATAAGAAGAGTGCCAAGGGGTTTAACAATATTTTGGTTTCCAACCAAACAAACATGGAGAATAGTTGATATTACAGATGATACATTTTCTTGCTTTCTATTTTTTAATAGTTTTAAGTGCAATAACTTTTGTGCAGTCCATGTTTTGTGTGTGTGTGTGTATGTATATATATATATATATATATATTATTTTATTTATTTATTTATTTATTTTTTTTTTAGTATGTTACATCCATCAAATGAACAATAATTGTGTATTTGGGCTGAAACACTCTTTATAACTTCAGCATGAATGAGTGGAGCTAAACTGCTGTAGGCTGAAGTGGATATATATATAAATGTGTTGTTTTTTGTGACATCACAAAAACAATGAACACCAAACAGGCTGTGGTTTCAGGAGTGAATATTTTTTGAAATATTAACAATGTTTACCTACTGAAAAAAACCTCAGTTATTTACTTAAATTTAGCATTTATTTAGTATGTTTTCCACCATATGGGCCGTTTAAGTAATATTAAAAGCTAGTCCACATGGTAATTATATGGTAATTACACTACCATCTGAGAAAATACAAGCTATAGGGTAAAGCTGTGCAGTGCTCACATGTGGTGCTTCATAACTGAATTTAAACCCTGGCTATGCTACTGCCCCTGATACTCTTCTACCAGTTCCACATATTACCGCTAATAGCAGGTTGGCATCACTGCTGTGCTGAGAATAATCCACCGTTCAAATATCTGGTCCGGATGATCTTATGGCGATCTGTTTCCATTGATGGATGTGGGAGAGGGGCCTGATAAGTTGTGCAGTAACATATAGGCTTCAATCAGTAATTGTATACCCAGAAAGTGTATCTAGGTGTACCAGACAAAATATCTATCGAGTGTAGATATAATGTGTACCTAATAAACTGTTGACTATAAGTTTAAGGACTGTCTATTCATGTTTCTGTATTAAAGGACAATATTTTTTCTGGTCTGTTTTCTTTACATTTCTATACCTTTCTAGTCAACCACTGACCTCCTGGGCTCAGAAGCAAAAACACAGGCAAAGGAAAAGCAAACAGTCACAAAACAGATCACCGCAGATGGAGAGGAGAGAGGAGAGCAGGCCAGGTGGTCCTCCCAAGGAACATAAGGACAATATGGATGATGTAAGCAAAGACCGCACCTTTTAGGATAATTCTTCTTTTGCGTGTTTTTCCGAATGTGTATCAACTACAGGAGAGGTCGGTGCTGTTTCTTTGTGTTTAGTTTGTTTTTAAGCATGAGTTTGATCATATGGAGAATCAAATCTTGATAGCTGGTTCTTTGTGTAAGGTTGTGCTGTAACCGTACAGTGTGGATGTTTGAAATCTGGGTCTGTGTATACAAAGCTGTCCCTCTTGAGTCCAGTTGTTGGGTTTTTTTTTTCCTTCAGCCTGGATGCACTGCAGCCCACTTGAATCCTGTTCCTCTAAAGAGAAGTGACAGCCTAGTGTCTGAAGCCTCAGGTAATCATTGTCCAAAACGAATGGAGCTCTGTAGTATGACATTTATACAAGGGACAAGACGTGTTTCAGTGGTAACAGTATAAAAGATTCTAATGTCCAGCTGTTCAGGGGTTGGTCCTCTGAAAAACTGCAAAGTCTCTGCAACCATTGAATAAAAAAAAAACATTTACTTAATGTTTTAAGTCACTCATCAGTAAGTATTTCAAATGTATTATGGTGTTAAAGTCATCTCTGACCATTTAAGCATTGCTATGCAACAGTATAAAGTGTTTTTAGCAGCATGAAAGGACCCACCTTTTTAATTGGCCTTAACGTTTGTAAGTGTATTACAGCTGTGTTTTTGTTGTGGGATGTGCATGTTGCTGCCTTTTTGCATTAATGTCTGTCCCAAAGGTTTGACCTACTGGAAGCTGGATGAGAGCGAGCTGTACCGCCCTCTACCTGACAGCTTTGAAAGTAGTTCCCTCCTCTTAATGCAGGATGTGTCTCTGAGCCAGGTAACTGTTCTAAGATTCTCATATGCTTATTTTTGTTTTTAGTGAGATACAGCACCAAACATAAGGTTTATTACATTGCATGCTCTAGTTTATACTGTGCATGTCTGTGTTGCATGTAGCCTCTAGCAGATGAGGCCAGACTCTCTCTGTCTCTGAGAGAGATCTACCAGAGCAAGCAAAAGGGAGACCCCAAGGGCCAGGAGTGGGACTCCTTAATCAACTCTGATGCATCCTCGCCTCAGGTGAGCACCGAGCACATTCCCAAACCAAGTTACACACCTTAGCTTAGTTTATTTGGATCAGTTTAAGGAGTAGAATTAAAAACAGCATTCCACTCCAAATCCATTTAACATGTTTAACATGTGATTGAAACAGGGAAGAAAATGATTAACCATTAAATTCTTAACTGACAAATAAACCATTCAGTTTTATTTAATTTTGAAGAAACAGCAGTTCCTATATTAATAAGCAGGTTTATTATTCAAGTTGAAGAATACTTTTGAGTTGTTCGCGTGACGGCACAATGGGCAATTGGTTCTGCAAGATAGGCCAGCTAACAAATGAAGCGCACCTAAAAATCGTGGTGTTGGGACCATTTTTCGAGAAGACGATAACACAACTATGACTCTCTACCATACGCAAACATCCACAGGCAATAAGACAGTTATTTGGTCTCCAAGAGAAAGTGTGATGCACGGTAGTGTGAGGAAATCCCACATGGGTGAGCAACTATAGAGAAGTACGTGGTGGACAACGAATGCTTTTGAGAGCTGCTTGGGTACATTGAGCCAAAGCTAGCCCCATTCATGGCATTTATGTTCATTTTAACTTGGGCTAGTTATGAGTGGTAAATATGACTGTAGAACATTTAGAATAGTCTTTCTTTCTAAAGTGAATGGACATTTCCAAAATACATGCATGAAGTGCCCACTTCCCTAGTATAACTTTCAGCACACACAGCTGTGGTAATAAGCACCATTATAAACAGTTTTAAAGGTGAATAATGTATTCACATTTAATTTAATTGTAGTCTGTCAGTTGATGGGCTGGGTTTGAGGTGGCAAAAGTGTTTGTCCAGATCGTGTCCTAGTCAGGCTGAAAGCTTAACTTGCCCAATTCTGAGTTCTACACCTATGTAACAGAAAGAACATTACAAAAGACATTTTTAATTAAAAAGTTAAAAAATACAAACCCTGCCTGCTGTGTGTTACCATCAGTTAATCCAGTCTAACATGGGACAAGATGTGACTGTCCCAAGGAGAGTGAGGATCAGGGGCATAAAAGCAAAAACCACAATAGTCCATGAAGAGTTTGGACTGTCCTAAGCTCTTTATCACTATTCATATCTTCCAAAGTATAATTAACAATTATTTAAATAATGTTTTGTGACTTTTAATAATAATACATTTTTTCTTTTAAACATTTTTGTATGTTAGCAATAACATCTATCTAAAGGCCTTTTCTGTGAAAAAAAGTATCACAGTTAAGGGTAAAATCTTTGTAGCTTGAAGAAAAGACAAAGTCTTCTGAACACTAAATAATAAAATTCCAGTGTGACAAACAAATATTCGAACATTCAGATTATTTGGGCCAGCTCTAGATTTTATGTAAAATGCTCCTTAAATTGATGCTCATTCTACCATCTGTTGCTGCGTGTCTCAGGTGCTGGCTCTGGACCCCACAGTGCATGTAAGGCAGTCGGACCGTACATCAGGCTTCACGTCGCCCTCGCACTTCAGCAGCCCGTCACTCAACGCCCAGCCACGACCGTATACCAGCATTTGTGCCCCCGTCAGCCCGGACTCCATGGCCCCGCGCAGCCACATGGACACTGACTGTCTGTCCAATGCTAGCAGCCTTTCTGCCCAGCAAAGCCTGGTCCGCAGCCCTACCTCCCCCACCTTCCGCACCGTGCCCCGGGCTAACAGCGACGACGAGGGCAGCCACACAGCCACCGTGACACTGCGGCCCACAGGTCAGGCCAGAGTGGAACAGTCTCCAAGCCCCCGGAAACTGAAATCATCAACCTCTCTGGATGACCCGGTGGTCCTCTCTTTGTAATAATCATTTCCTTTTCTTTCAGTAATTACCGCATACCCTTGAGCTGTAGTGTTAATCTGTGCATAGTGTAATTTGTACATACAGCAAAAATTACAGTTACTTTTATCTTAACTATTTGTACTATTTTTCCTCCACACTTCTTCTGTTTCTACTAATCTACTCTTGCATGTCTTAATGAGAACCATTGCTGAGACAAATTCCTTGTAAGTGCCCTCTTGGCCAATTTTACAGATTTGATTCTGAAATCTGTAACAGCAAGTTAAGCAGTGCAGGTGCAAAGGTATTCTATTGTGATACATTTCTTCAGTGTAGTGCATGAAGCTGCCCTCTTTAGTGTCAATATCGGTGCAAGATGGTTATATACAGTATGTAGCAGTAACAACTGTGCTTGGTCAGCTTTGTCTCCACATCTCAGCTACTTCTTTTGACCTCCTTCTCTACCCAGGTTGAGACAGAACCTGAGGGAAAAGCATGCACGGCACATAGCAGACCTTCGAGCGTACTATGAAGCGGAGATTAGCACCTTGAAGGAGAAGTTGGACTTAGTTAATTTGCCCCTGGACATGGAGAAAAGCAACCAGATTCTGCTAGAAAGGTTAGCAATAACAGCGGTGTAAAAAAAATCCTTACTCAAAATAAATGACTTATGCTGGAGGGTTGAGGCATAAAGGCTGATTTTATACTTCTGCGTTTGCGTATCTGTGTGCAGACGTTGTTCATAAACGTTTGTGTAGCCAACATACTGGCACATAATGTGGATGTGTACCCTAAGGTCCAAACCAGAATGTAAAAAAAATAAAGAGGAAATTCCTCTTGCTCTCTTAGAATAAATGCTCACTTCACTGGTTTTGTAACATTTTGAAGAGGTTATAAACATGCCTCCAACTACATCATTTGATTTTATGCTAGCTCTGGTTCGGGTCAAGTATAGACCTCTGAAATCATGTCTTCATTGTGTAGGAATTCAGGTGTAAGCTGGTTTGGCATGGGAAGAATGCCGCTTTGGACTAAAACTAAAACTAAATCTGATTTTGACATACAGACATTTTTCCTCAGAACCTTGCCATATCCTCTGCATAAGAAAGTTGTTAAGGAGCCAAAATATGTCTAGTGCTACAAGACAAAGCTAACACTGCTGTGTAATGAAATGGCATCATAAAACTGACAACCTCACCAAAATACCCCACGCAAATTAGTAAGCTTTGTAAACTGTCTTATGTGTAGTTTGATTAGCTGGTGTTGGTATATAATAATGTTGAACTTTAATAGTAGACACGTTTTCATGCAACATCATTTCAGTGTGGAGGAGCATTAGTGCCACATATGAAGCATTATTTGTATTAGGATTGCTAAATGACCTAATTTAGTGGATCCAGTGACACTTGGGGGAGGGGGGATGTACAGAGGACAAAATGTATTGGCTTTGGAGCATTTTAGTTTACCCCAGTACACCAACAGCAGTGACTTTTGATTTTCTGTCATAGAGAAAACCAGCTTAGATCTAGAGTTCTTAATATGGGTGTGATGCATGACTTCAGATGTCTATTTGGGTCTTTTCCCACCCCCAGGGCTGCTGTATAATGGATCAGCATTCGTTTGATGCACAGCTCTGCAGATATGCTTAACATGTAGTAGAGGTTTTGGAGGTCTGGGCTTCGTGGCCTCTGAGAGCAGTGCTTACTCATGAAACTCTTCTCTGCATCTCGTCGCATATACATTTATGTGCGTCTTCACAGATCTATAGGTCAGCCTCAATTGTGGAGAATGAACCTTTAGCAGTAGAATACTGTGTATCTAGACTTATTACATCTTTTGATGGCCCCTGACAGGTGCGAGCACCTGGAAAGAGCCCTTACAGAGGCGAGTGTGCGGATCAGAGAGTTGGAAACAAGAAACCAACACCTGGAGAGACAGCTGGTATGAGTCACACTTTGTCCCAAACAGCCTTGAGTTATGTTCAAAATCAACAGAAACCATGACTTGGTACACAGTGATCAAGTAAACATTACTTATCAGATGTTGTTTTGTTCTGTTTTTCACAATTTTACATGCTTGTTTTCACCTCTTTAGACTGGTGTATTTAATCTTAAGGCTTTGTTTAACACCTAGGTGGAGTGGCCTGAGCGGTATGATGCAGCCAGTTCCATGGTTCAGGCTCTGCAACAGCGCCTGGAGGAGACTAAGCAGAGTGGCAGGGAGAAAGACAACACTGTGACCAAACTGAGAAGCCGCCTGCGGCACCTGGAGGAAGCCGTGCAGAACGCCTGCAAGGAGGTGGACGAGAAAGAAGCCTGCATGAACAAAGAACACAAGATGCTCCAAGATGTGAGCGACTTTCTCATGTCTCTTGACTAAATAGTAAGGGTGCGGGAAAAAATTGATTCTTAGATACATCGCGATGCGGACGTGAATGATTCTGAATCAATTCACAAATGTCAGAAATCGATTTTTCTAAATGTTTAATTTATAGCGTAATGTTGACGGAACGCAAAAGGCAGAACTTGGAAGTGGGTAAGTGCAGCGCCCGGACAGTCTGTGACGACACATAACAAAAACACTACTGGATGAGCGAGAAATCCGACCGGCTCCCTCTGCATTAAAGCCAGGTTAGATCAGGAGTCACAACACAAATGATAAGAAGAGCCATTTGGTCCTTTCAACAAAAATCAAACCACATTGGGAGCAACAACATTTCATGTCTCAGTATGTGATAATGTACTAGTATAGGCTATAAATATAAACGAGAGCGCAGATTTACTTTGCTGTGCTTTAAGCTTTAGCTCAGCTATAGCCGCTTTTCTTCCATCTCCGCCAGAAAACTTTTCTTCAAAAGTACATCGGCTTATTGTAAAGTGTCTCTCAGCGTTCGGCTGTTTTACGAGGCTGAAGTTGCTTCTCATTCTCCAGCTTCTCGTTCGAATTTTCCCGTTCCACCTTAAATTCTTACTCAGACGCCGAATGTAAATGCGGCACCATTTAAGGTGGAACGGCAAAATTCGAAAGAGAAGCGACTTCATCTTTGCAACTGTTTAGTGTTTCACAGTCTCTCGTTGCAGATTTAACGTACCAGGAAACGAACTGCGCTGCTTATAAATGCGAATAACTCATCGTTTCAAAGTTACCTGCAGTCTGCACGCCAATTCTCAGTCGTTGCGAAACAGGGCTCCCCCCGCCCCCGTCTCTACAACGAGACCGAAAACGAAGTTATAAAATCACTAGAAAACGGGTAGGACAGCTGTAATGTGCTGCGTGGACACCCATTACCACTGGATCTTATTTCACCGTAACGGCGCATTTTATCGCAGATGAGTGGCAGCAGCGTCTCATGTGCTCCAAACCAGAGCACTGAATGAGAGCCTTCCAGTTCATTTGCCACATCACTTCCATTTGTTTTATTAATAAAAGATATTGGAAGTAAATTCATTGTGGATAATTACAAATACTTTGCTTTGAAAGTACCAAGTCCTCACACAGTGAGAAAGTAGAAATGCTGTATAGAAAAAAAAAGATGCATTGAGATGCATCGATAATTGTTTTATAATCGCATCGCAGCCCTCAGAATCATAATTGAATCGAATCGTGAGGTGCCTAGAGATTCCCACCCCTACTAAATAGTAAAGCATTTTTCAAACTGTTCGCTTGGATTGTGATATTTCATAATTAATTACCACTGACATTAGGGGTGTAACGATATACAGAAGTCCTGGTTCGGTTCACGTCGCAGTTTGGGCATCACGGTTCAGTGCGAGTTTGGTACGGCGGAAACAAGCAACACACACACCCGACTGCATAAGGCTAGGTTTCTTTTCATTTATTTTTAACAGACAGTGAATACACATTGCATGTTACGGTTTCTTTCACCTAGTGTTGTATAGTCCCCCTGAGGTAATGTTAGTACAACCTGTAGTGTGAGTTATCTGCACACGACAGGGTGCCATTACTTAATGTGTACACTGATGGTTCAGTTGTGATTTTGTGAGCGACGAAAACATAAAAATTTGTGTTGAATCTCTTTAACAGGTACAAAATTACTGCAACCTGTAGATAGGGATAGGTCTCATTTTATTTGTCTTTTATTTAACTTAATAGCTGCCTAACTTACTAAGGGCGTACAGCTGATGGTTTCCGAGTGGAACTCATGCATGTAATATTTGGTTCCGTATTATGTTCCTCAATCTTCATACATGCCTTGTATTCTCCATACGACTGCATGCACCCAACGATAACGTCCGTACCGTCATGGTTTGGGATGAATACACATACTGTTACACCCCTAACTGACATATATTATGAAGACGGTTGGCCTAATGTTGGAAAAGGAACTCCTTCTTGTTTTTCTTGAGGTTGTTTGATTTCATTGCTTTTTTTATTCTTCAGCTGCTTCAGGAATATGACTACTTAAGAAATGATCATGAGGCAGTGAAGGTAAGAAAATGTGAATTGTTTGAATATATATACTAGGGATGCATTGATTTCTATACTGGTACAGATACCGTGCCCATGTTCTCATACTCAGAAAAATTTACCGATACCAACGTAAGATACCTGCTGATACCATGTGACATAAGCTGAGCGTACGCTGCTGCACTAATGAGCAAACCACTCAAGCTGACAGTGAAAGAGACTCTGCTCACACAGTGTCACAAAACTGTTTGACAACAAGTTGCTGGTCACTTTAAACTATTTGCCTCGGCATGTTCCTGCCAAACCTACACAATGTGATTTTAGCCCATTTTTAAACACACAGTCACGGCTGCTTCCCCAGTATGAGTGGAGATACGGAGGCAAAAAGTTGACATTTCCTAGCAAAGTTCGTATATGCCAACTTTACTCTGTTTGACTGAATAAAACAGTAAGGTATAAACGTTAATACAGTGAAGTTTTCCCCTAAAGTAGGCTGTAGAGAGACCCTACTATTCTACTGTGTACAGCACCGCCTGGCTTTTAGTTTCAGTGATCAGTGTTGGCAGCGCTGCTCAGTTTCTCTTTGCCCAGTACTTGGCACGCAGCATGTTATTTTGAATGAAACAGCTTTATTTAAAAGTGTTGATAGACAAAGCTGTCTGTAGAGGCTGCATTTCATGTAACATGAACGGATCGCTTCCGTTCTGTGTGAGTATATAAATTGTAGGCTTTGTCTGTCGGCCTATTGAAATGTATGGTGCAAGTCCCCAAAGAACAAGATTTCTAAAATCACACAGTGTCTGTCTGGACATTCAACTACAGCTTAACCAGCCAAACAAAATACTTGAGACATAAAACTCCACAGGTGAGACCTTCAGATGCATTAGCCTCAGCTGTGATTCCTGCTGGCACTGTGCTACAGAGACTGTTGTTGAAAGAGACAGATCAGGGTTTAAACTTACAGCGGTATAGAAGTGCTTTTCTAACAAGGAACAAAAGCCGCCCTTCTCCACTGCAGTGCCACTCGATCAAAGGTAACCAATGTAGCATAGCTAGCTAATGCACATAATTTAAAATTAAAGATTTTAATGATGTAACTGTTAAGGCAAATTGCACTCATTTACACGACCAGCTACTTAATTTTAAGTAGATAACTCAATATGGTATCGGACTTGATATCGTCGAGTACTAAAAAATGTGTACTTGTACTTTCTGAAAAACAAATGGTATCAGTGTATCTGTAATATATACTAAATGGAGGCTGTTGTTAAATAGTAAATGTGTTTCTGTTTTTTTTTTTTTTGAACACAGAACAATTTGGTTTCAACTGAGAATAAACTCTTTGATGCTAATGAGCAAATATCGGAACTGAAAAGGTAAATGAAATTTAAAAACTTGTGGTGTAAATAATTCATTGCATTAGCAGCCAAATCTGGCATAAAAGGTTAAATGTTTAAAAAAAACAAAAAAAAACATATTTAAATATTTTCTAGGGTAATCTCCAAGCTGGAAGCACAAGTTAAACAGCTGGAACATGAGAACATGGCCAGAACTCGCCAGGCTTTACACAGTCACTCACAGCCTTCTGGAGCAGGGTAAGAGATTTATGTTGCACTGTGAGTTCACTCACTAAGAGGATACATATCCATATATAAGCATAATAACGTAGTACAATTGACTGATTGCAAAATAATGATTGACAGGAATTAGTCAGAATTATCACTTTATGAAATGAAAACCTACTGCTTTAATGCTCACTCCTCTATTGTCACACCAGTACTGCATTTAGCCCAGTGGCTAAAAAATTTCTCTGGTTTGAATAAGGTACAGTCATATGCGAAAGTTTCGCCGCCCCTGTCAAATCACATGCATTGATGATTTTTCTAAGTGAAAATAAGTGAACATGTCCTCTACAGAAAACACACTGTGAGGTAAAATACTGTGATGTAAAAATAAAACATACATCATGGCCTGTACAAACATTATGGCACATTTTATTTTATTTTATTTTTTTTGTTAAACACACATATAGAAATTGTGCACAAACATAGTGGAAAATTGGCATATTTTCAGTTGACAAACATGTATTGTTCTGTGCAAATGTTTTATGCACCTGGGACTATTCGATTTTAAAAGCTGGGACGTAAACCATTTGTTTGTTCTGAAAAACATTAAGTTACAGTAACGTATAAACATGTATTGTTACAGTAAATACAAAAAATGTTAATACGACACACTTTGATTTTGCATACACTGATCAGGCATAACATTATGACCACCTCCTTGTTTCTACGCTCATTGTCCATTTTATCAGCTCCACTTACTATATAGGTGCACTTGTGGTTCTACAATTACAAACTGTAGTCCATCCGTTTCTTTACATAGCCCCCTTTTGCCCTGTTCTTCAGTGGACAGGACCCCCATGGACACTCACAGAGCAGGTACTATGTCCTGTGACCACTGCTAAAGGATGACCAACACAAACTGTGCAGCAGCACATGTCGTCTCTGACATTACATCTACAAGGTGGACGGACAAGGTAGGAGTGTCTAATAGAGTGGACAGTGAGTGGACACAGTGTTTAAAAACTCCAGCAGCACTGCTGTGTCTGATCCACTTGTACCAGCACAACACACACCAACACATCGCCACCACATCAGTGTTACTGCAGTGCTGAGAATGGTCCACCACCCAAATAATACCTGCTCTGTGAGGGTCCATTAGGGTCCTGACCACTGAAGAACAGGGTAAAAAGGGGGCTAACAAAGTATGCAGAGAAACAGATGGACTACAGTCTGTAACTGTAGAACTACAAAGTGCACCTATATAGTAAGTGGAGCTGATAAAATGGACAATAAGCGTAGAAGCAAGGAGGTGGTCATAATGTTATGCCTGATCAGTGTATATGTCAGTGTGTTTGCTGACCGCTTTCCAAATCTGGCAGCCCTGTATTATATGTAGTTACCATCCAGTACCTGGTTTGGCTAATTAATGCTTCATGATGTTAAATCAAGTACACTGGTAATGGAAAACAGCAAATCCCTGTGGTGCCTAAGACAGACATCTGGAACCAAACTTTGTTCTTTAAACTAGCTCACAAGATATCTACTACATTTTAAAAACAAAGAAATTCTTGCCACTTTTTACTGTATTTATGTTCATTCGCACCTATTCTAGTGATATATGGTGTTTTTCCAAGCAAACAATGTGCTGAGGTGCTTGTGCACAGTACTGCATGTCTGCATATATAGCCAGTTTATTATTGAATAATAATGTTTTCAGATGTACTTCTCTGTCTTCTTCTATATTTGCCTTTGTGCTACTGAGCTGTTTCGTCTGTTAGCACTAGTGATAAGGAGGCTACTGGGTGGCCTGACCTGAATGTTTGACAGACGTAGCAACAGTAACTTCGGAGGAAAGGACTTGTCAGAATTTTGTTGTTCAATATAAAAATGTTTTGTCACTGCTTAAATTACTAAAATAGTTAACATTAGTTAGACCGTGTAATTGACATGTCCCCAGTCCCACAGATGGATCATCAGCAACATCTGAATCAAGCTAGGGTGCTTTGTTTGCATAATAAAAACAGACTCCTAAAATTTTGCCTATTCTGGCCTTTAGCAACATCAGTAGAGATGTAACGATCGATCATATCGGTATCGGGCAAGTTCTTTTGTTTTTTTTGTTTTTTTAGCCCAAATATGCATTCAGTTGTCGATCGATATTTTTCTAACTTAAACAATCCTGAGAGCTGATCAGTGACATAAATATATGAGCCATATTTAAGGATTGCTGCAGCCCTATGTGAGGCTCCTTTGTCACCGAACCCTGCAGTTCCTAATTTAAACACCAGATGGAAAAACAGACCTTTTGACTTTTGACTGCAAGTCCAATTTTTATGTCCAAAAAAATGCATGCCAAGTGTATTAAAGCCGACTGAGTCTGAAACTGATGGACTGCAACGTTTCGTAAATGTGTAAGCTGAGCCTTACAAATTATTTTCTGCGCTGTACTGAAATGTTAAAATCAGGCTCCATTGTCGTGGTTGCATCCCAAACAAATGTGCATCAGGATGGCGGCAGAACTCTTGTAGCAGAAGCTTATACAACAAGCAGCGCTGCCTAAAAAATGCGGAGGCTAAAGACAGCATATGGCAGACGAGAGCTGAAAGGCTTTGAATTACTGTGAGTACATTGCAGTGACTGTATTTAACCAGAGTTAATTGGCTCCTTTTTAATGAAAGGAGCAGCAAGCAGAAGCAGAGCCATTAAATGAAGCTCTCTCTATGCTAAAATCGTTTTTTTGTCTGAAAAAATCATGCTTGTTGTAAATAGGACTTAGTAGTCCAGCCCCACACTCAATCCGTATTGGCTATCAGCTGATCGTGCTGAAAGGCAATCAGTATCGGCCCCAAAAACACACATCAGTCGATCTCAATATCAGTATTGCAGATATCTAGATTGTGCTAACAATTACCCAACAGTATACTAGACGGTAGGCTGTCCTACTAATGTTGACTGAAAGCTTGCAAGTTCTTACACAATTTGGGGACAACTGTATTATGTTTTTGTATTATTTTTTCTAATGCTTTTCATATTCCTTTTTAGTTTATTTCACCATCCTGATCTTCTACTTTCACCGGGCAAAAGGCAGCGTGATGCAGAATGCAGCACAAAGAATGGAGTATCTGACAAAGGAGGACTACATGGAAGACCGTACGTTTTCACTCCTGTATTGTCACATCAGTACAGCATTAGAATCAGACCATTAAATAGGTTTGATTTCAAGTAAAATCAAGAGTCAGAATTATTCAAAGTGTTGGTGATGGGAACCAGATGTTTGAAGAGTTGAATGCCTCTGAAAGCTCCCTCGCAGATAGTTATTACATGAATTGGTTATGAAAATGCGACAAACACGACTTGACCCAAAACATTGTTTTATGCTAGTTTTGAGATAAGGCTTTGATCTAAAATGTATTTTTTAATCCGTTTAGGGCAGAGAGGTACATGCAGGGTGTTTTACAGCCAAATAGTCCCAAACAGTCGTGTCTTTGTATTCATATTTTTATTTTCAGATTTACCGGTATTTTACCATTATCAACATAATCTATAAAAACCTGGACATGTGCTGGTCAGCTGGCCGTAAATACAGTAGCTATATTTGTGTTGTAGACATCACAACCTGTGGTTCCTATCATGTCTGAACTTGAGATTGAACTATGCAGAATTTTTTAAAAAACAGTATAGTTCCCCTTTACATATTTTAGATGATGTCTGAGAATGATGCACTCCTCTGACTTGGGCTACCATTCCCTACTTAGGCGCCTGTCTCCCCCAGAGAGAGAGCAACTCCAAGAGCAGCCCACAGCCAAGGAGCTGAAGAAGAGGGATGTTCCACTGACACCGATGATGAAGGCTCTGATTCAGATGGAGGAGACCAAAGCCACTGAGGGACGGGCTCTGTCAAAGACTAGCTATTCCAGTAGGATATGCATTTTTCTCCTTCTTCTAGTTTCATGATTCCAGCCTTGGTTCTGGAGTGTCTTTGCCCTGCACATTTTAGTGTTTTCGCTGCTGTGACATACCTACTTCAACTTAAGAATGGCTTATTAAGTAGCGGATGAGTTGAATCAGGTATGTTAAAGAAAGGAAAACAAAATATGCAGGACAGAGGGACTCCAAGATTGGGAACCACTGGGCTAGTAAGTCTGATTCATATAGCTCAGAAATATATTTGTGCATATGTGTTCACTACAGTTTTGGAGAAGTTCTTTTAATTCATTGTTTATTGATGTCAGTCCATTTCTCTTGAAATAAAAGCTAGCCATATGGTGCTGAGCTTTTTTCAGGTCTGAAATTGTGGTCTGAACTTGAAAACAGCCTGACATCTTTCTATAAAAGCCCTACCCAACCTGTAACACACAGTCAAGTTTGAGTCTCAGCCCTACAAAAGTCTGTCTGAAACTGACCCAGGCCGGCCCATTATCACCCAAAGTGCTGAAAAAACAACCTGATACTTCTATTGATGGTGACAGATAAATTACAGTGTATCAACAATAATAGCCATCAATAGATCATAAATAAATAATATAAACTAATATAATTTTGAACAGCTTGAACAGATTTAGGTTCAAATTCCACGGCCAATTGCATCAGATTCATTCGTCAAGCAGTGCTTTTGAACAACATCCCAAGGGTTTTAAGTCTAGATAAACTTTCCATAATACACTGCACAGTATGCTGATATAGCCAGATGCTAACCTTGACGTGTTTAATCCTAAAGCTTTATTTCTTTACATTAAGTATATTATATACAACACATTAAACATATAACAAAGGTTCAAAGTGTATCAAAGTAATGAAAGTGGAAGGAAAGAAATAAAATAAGAAAAACTAAAGAAGAGGGAAATGTCAATTAAAATCTATTAAAAGTGGGAGGCAGGCTGTGAGCAACTGAATGTGAAATTTAAACCTAACCCAAGCCCAGCAGACGGGTCCCATCGGGTTCTGACAAATTTCAAGCTCTAGATGGTGCTGCTGATGCATTACTACTGTACATATTTATTGCACTGTGTTGCAGGATTAGGAAGGAGAAGACCCACAGTGGCTTTTCTAGACAGTGTAAGAGAGCCTTTGCTGGAGAGGGGTAGTGCTGTGCTTCGGGCTCAGAGAAGCCTTTCTCCAGAGGGTCACCGCTCCTCATCCCTACCCCCCAGAGCACAGAGGGCAGGCCCTCCCTCTACACCAAGTGAGTAGCAAACTCAAGTGCTGCACAGGTCCAGTTAAAGATTCATACACTGTTGAATAACCTATAAACGTAAAACATATAAACGTTGATTGAGAATGTCACTGAAAGCCAACCTTGAACACATTGTTGAAAACTAAGACTGTAAATCTCTAACCTCTTTAGGAAACAGTTCAATGCAACATTAAAACTTCAAATGTAAACATAATTTGTTACAGTTAGATTATTTTAGTTTTGTTTATTTTATTTAATTTTTAAAAATACACTGAAGACAGATGTGTATTACACAGTAAGTACACATTAAAAATTTGACAGTAGTAGAGAAAAGACAAAAACAATACACTGACCTTTTTGGGTGTGAGGGGTATTACATTGAGAATTTTATGAGCACACTTTATTGAATGTTAAAATACATTCATATGCAAAGGTTTGGGCGCCCCTGGTCAAATGATGTTTTGTTTGTTCTCCAAGTGAAAATGAGTTAACACATCCTCTACAGAGAACACACTTTTTTAATTTAACACACAATTTTAATTTAAAATTTTTCATGTACTTAGCGTACATACAATTTGACAAAAACAATACTGATGTAGAATTACTTATGTCCACTTAGAAAATCAACAAAATGTAATTTGACCAGGTGTATCCAAACTTATATAAATAATAATTGATTCTAACATTACAAAATCTATGCAGTTGAACTGCCAGCTTCAGATCAATATATTGCTACAGCTCTGTTTAATTTGGTATGGCTGACTGAATGATGAGAACTTTGTCAAATTTATTCTATGTATTTCTTTGCAATCATGGTAGCTAAGAGAGAAACTCTGATTCAGCCACTCTCAGCCAAGTCCAGTCCCAAACGCTGCCCAACAGAAAACTGTTCTACTGCATTTGATCGTCCATTGCCTTGCCAACAGCACATGCATAACAGGTATAGTTTGATTTTGGTATGCCACTCTTTAACAGTTCCAAACTAGCTAAATATAACTTGTCAGGTTTTTGGACTGTCTTCAGCACTTAAGACTGTTCCTTTGGTTTTAGGTTTGATTTGCACTTTGATCAAAGGGGTTTCAGCTCATCGCTGCCATCTCAGCCCAGCTCAAGAACAAGATTGCAGTTCATGCAAACAGAGAAGCCACAAGGTAGTCATGTCTTTGTATTCATCTATATATCTTTATTATCTTAAGTAATTTTATGCAAATTAGCCTAAAGGTTGCCTTAGAGCATGGGTGTCCAATCTTATCCACAGAGGGCCTGTGTGGCTGTAGGTTTTTATTCCAACAAAGCAGGAGATCACCTGATCAGCAGTTTGGAGAATGAGACCAACTGATTAAACAAGTGGAATCAAGTGTGCTCCAGCTTGTTTTGAGTGAAAACCTGCTTCCACACCGGCCCTTTGTGGATAAGATTGGACACCCCTGCCTTAGAGCAACTAGGCATTAGGTGGATTTTTTACCTTTATCCTACTGTCCTTACTGTCCCACATTAGAATTAATTTTTATGAACTCTCTGTGGAACACCTTTAGGAGATTAACTGTCTTTCTTTTTCATAAAATTTAAAGATGTTTTTACGATTTTTCTGAATAGTTGAAACAGACAAAAAGCACCAGATGTTCCTCAATAAAAAAAAATACTAAAAATGCATTAAATTTTAAACCGACAAGAATGTTTACTTAATGTTTACTGATGTGATGTAATTTATCATGATAACAATAAATCATTATATTCCCCAATTCCGAGGGTAGTATCATCTCAGATTGAAAACATTGAAAATATTTTCCACTAAACATTGATGAAAATTCACATTATAACTGTAACATCAAGCCCATTTACATCTGTTATTTTATATTATATACAAAATTAATACATTCTGATACATTTGTCTGAATTATATATTATAAAAGTGACAATTTCTGTTCTGTTATTAAAGGGGTGTTCTGGCTGAAAAACTACCATTTAATATGTTGTTATGTTGTGTTGCATACCGCAGCATTGCACCCCTCAGTCCCTTTTGTTTGTCAGAATATTCTCTGACTACAATACCCAGCATGCATTGAACAACTATTTTACGCAACCTTTGGGAATACCAATAACACTCCTGACAGCTAGCCACTGATTAAGAGGCTAATAAATATGCCTGTGGTACCTGCTAGCATTAGTAACATATCACTAGCCTCAGTTGGTAGTCGAATGTTTTTTCTTTGTTAAAGGAGAAATTTAACCAGTTATTTTCATCTTCAAAATAAATCATCAGAGGGGGATTTTTCTAGTAGCCCTTGTGTAAGATGGGAGTAGGCATGTTTACAACACTACAACATACTGCTTTACCTTATCTTACTTTTTATCTTAAAGTTGACTGGCTGACTTAGAAGTCAGGCCTGTCTGTACAGCTTGGAGTGGACACTTGGATTTTGACTGGATGTAGTACAGCATCTTGGTTACTTTCATGAATACCAAGTCTAAAACTAGTCTCTCTGGATTGTTATTTAGAATAAAAGAACACAATTCCAGAAGCAGCTGACACGATTCATGTGCATTTGGTGGACAGCTAGTTGGTCCATTTCTAACAGTTAGTCAAAGCTATTGCTTGCAGGTACAAACATGCTAGAGAACTTTAAAACCAAACAATATACCTCACTTGTTTGGTACCTAAAACATATTCACTGACAGACATATAAAAAGACTAGGATGTAGCACATACAGCTAGGGCTGGGCGATAAAATGATAACGATAATTATCACGATGTAACTTTTCCTCGATAGAACGATAAGAAAGGTTTGATAAATTTTCAATATAATACACCATTCTCATACTTCCACCTTCTAGCGAAAGCCCTGGTGGCGTTTTCTACTGCAAAGAAAATGACACCACTCTGCTGTTGCCAGGAGAGGGCGCACTTCTGAGTTTTTCTACATGATTAGAGAGGGAGGGGCGACGAGTGAACTGAGTCTTTAGTAACGTCTGAAACATGGAGTTATAAATTCCCTGTTTGAGTGGAGCGACCGGCGATCTGTTTTCCTGTGACCAAGTGTGAGTGACAAGATCAGTGGTGTAACTACACTGTCCTACAGCAAACTCACCTCTTTACTAACATTCTAACAAGCTTTAGCAGCGTTAAATCGCGTCTGCTCCTCTCAACGAAAGCGCGGTTACAGCACTCAAAAAGTCATATTTTAGTATTAGTGCGTTCCCAAGCAACGAAAGTGAAAGAAAGAAGTGGGTTCATGCAAGTTGCAGCCCTGATTTAAACGAAAGTAAACTGAGGAAGCTGTGAGGCATTGGAAAGCAGGAGAGCGCTGTCTTTCCAGGCTAGCTGTTTTTAGCAGGTGGTTAACTTGAAGCAGCGCTCCGTCACTCACACAGCACAGAGAACTGATGATACTGTACATCAAACAAGACACAAAAGCACCGCTTTCAGTTTAAACGTACCTAAAAGGACGACTCTGTTTGTCTGGTGTTAGAATAGAGAAACCCAGTCGTCGCTAGCTGGTGTTTGAATAATGTGATGTGCTCTGACATGGATGTGGCAGGAGCGCCTGCAGTAAGGCGGTGTGATCCATCACTGACGTACCGAGTCAGCTAATGTTCGCTGTTCGTACTAAACTGATGTTGTTGAGAAACTAAAGAGTTTAGCACTGTTGTTGGCCACTTGTTTAGCATTTGTAACGGGATAGCCGAGCACTCATCACCAGACAGCTAAAAATAATCTGTGAATTATATGAATTTTGTTTATCGTGATAACATTTTTGGCCATATCGCACAGCTCTACATACAGCCATGTTTGTTATTGTCCTACTGTATTATTAACAGGCTTTTTTCCTTTTCACAGTTGATACCCAGCCCAGGACAGGGTCAGCAGATCCAGCAGACAGCAGTGAGACAGAGGAGAATGCCACTTCGTCGGGCTTGGAGGAGCAGGAGGCTGCAGACTCTGCCCTGCTGCTCCACGACCCTGATGATGATGGCAGCCTCTCCTATCAGACTCAGATTCATTCACTAGCGGATGCTGAAAAGCTGTTTGATGAGCTCACGCTGGAGAAACAGCAGGTGAGCCTAGATTTCGCTTTTGTCCGTCTCCTTTAATATGGTGATTTATCACCCATTTTAAACTGCTTCCTGCAAGATTTGGCTCGCTGCATGCTGTACAATGGAAAAATGACTCTCTCTCTCTCTCTCCTCTCTCTCTCTCTCTCTCTCCTCTCTCTCTCTCTCTCGCTCTCTCGCTCTCTCTCTCTCTCTCTGTGGTATCTTTTACCCTGTGTGTTCATACTGGTAACAGTGTGTATAAAGCTTTCCATGGGTTTTATGGATTAGAATGCAGCAGTGGTCCTAGCCAATTACACAACCTAACCCCCGGCAAATAATTCAAAACAAGAACGTGGCTTTATTATCTGTGACTTTGCATGGATTTTGTGAATTTTATCATTAGCTCATAATTTATTTGCCCTTGATTGGATTATTTAAGCTTTAAGCAATCTGATGTACCAGCTGGGCAGTTGCATAGCATTAAATAGAAAAGTTCATAAATGGACATGTTCATTTCTGACTTCTGTGCAGAGATTGATTGTCAGTGGTTCAATGCCATCAGGTCAGCTTGGATTAAGTACTATACGAGTAGGATTTGTTGTACTTTGGGAGGTGGGGTGATGTAATTATGACCAGTGTTTCTCAGTGATTTTTGTGTGTTTGAATCCACTATCTCATTTTTACGAATGTAAGATTCTGGCTCCTTTGATTTTCCTTGAAGCCAACTGTACAGATAAACCCAGGTTATATAAAAGTCAATGTGCAAATCATTTAAACCCTATATTTTATTGAAAATAGTATAAAGAAGTCAAATCAAATGTTGAAACTGAGAAACTTTGTTTTTTGAAAAACATGCCCATTTTGAATTTGATGCCAACAACACGTTCCAAAAAAGTTGTGACGGGGGCATGTTTACTACTGTGTTTCATCACCTCTTCTTTTAACAGCACTCTGTAAGCGTTTGGGAACTGAGGAGACACTGCTGTAGTTTTGAAAGTGAAATGTTTTCCCATTTTTACTTAACATAGGATTTTAGCAGCTCAACAGTTCAGGGTCTCCTTTGTTGTATTTTTCACTTCATAATGTGCCAAATGTTATCAGTAGGTGATAGGTCTGGACTGCAGGCAGGCCAGTTTAGTGCCCTTTTAATACAGAGCCATGCTGTTGTAATATGTGCAGAATGTGGTTTGACTTTGTCTTGCTGAAATAAGCAAGGCCTTCCCTGAAAAAGAGGTTATCTGGATGGCAGCATATGTTGCCAAAACATGTATATATCATTCCGCATTATTGGTGCCTTCACAGATGTGCACGTCACCCATGCCATGTGCACTAATGCTCCCCTGTACCATCATGAATACTGGCTATTAAACTGTGCACTGATAACAAGCTGAGTGGTCTTTAGCCTGGAGGACAGTGTCCATGATTTCCAAAAGGAATTACAAATGGACTACAGGACACTTTTCCACTTCCTGTCAGTCCTTTTTAAATGAGCTCGGGCCCAGAGAAGGTGGCAGCATTCCTGGATCCTGTTTGTATACGGGTTCTTCTTTGCGTTATCATGGCCAGCATATACTGGTTTTTGGCCTTGTCCCTTACATACAGAGATTTCTCCAGATACTCTGAATCTTTTACTGTAATTATGTGCTGTAAGATGAAAAGCAAAAGTTCTTTGCTATTTTATGTTAAGAAATGTTATTCTCGAATTGTTGCACTGTTTGATTGTGTCTTTCACAGAGTGGTGAACCCTTCCTCATATTTACTTCTGAAAGACTCAGCCTTTCTGGGATGCTCTTTTTGTACCTAATCATGTTACTAACCTGTTGCCAATTAACCACCAGGTTTTAGCATTACACAACTTTACCAGCCTTTGTTGCCCCTGCCCCAACTTTTTTGGAACGTGTTCCAAATTCAAAATGGGCATCTATTTTTCAAAAAACAATAAAATTTCTTAGTGTCAACATTTGATATGTTGTCTGTGAAGCATTTTCAATGAAGTATAAGGTTTCAATGATTTGCACATAATTGCATTTTGTTTTTAATTTTTCACAGCGTTCCAACTTTTTTGGAAATGGGGTTTCTCTGTGGCCCAAATCAAGTCAATATCTGTTTGTCCAAGTGTACAACTGTTCAAACATGTAAAATGACAGAAGAAAGTGTAATTTTATGTGGACAAAGACAATGTTAAACATAAATTGCATCCACGTAAAGGGGAATTCTGCCTTTTAATTTGAAATGTAAACAGTCATTCAGAGTGCTTTGATGCAAAATGCTCTGTTCTAGAGAAACTTACCAGTCAGAATTGTTCACAGTGGTGGTGATATGAACCAGATGTCTGAAACCTCCCTCACAGAAAGTTATTATATGAAATATTTATAAATGTTGTCTGAGACACTGTTTTATGATAGTTTTAAGATAAGCTTTTGGCCTAAAATGTATTTTTTAAAATATATTCATGGTGGAAAGGTACATGCAGGGCATGTTAAGGCAAGAGACAAAATAGTTGATTGAGTTGATGGTTTCAATTTTATCATCAGTATTAGGCCTACATAGAAACGCAGAAATAAAATTGCTATATTTGATTATAGAAATTCTGACCTCTGGTTCCTTTCATTTTCACTGTAAAGAAATCTGAGTTGGTAATTTCTCTAGAATGGTGCATTTTATATCAAACCACTCTGATGGCAGCTCAGTGATTAAATTACACGGACATTTTAAAAATTGGTGAAATTCCCCTTTAAGATAGCTAGGTAGATAGTTAGGGTGAACAAAATTACAATAAAATTCAATGTTTGGACATGTTTTGTACTTGAAAGCAGCCGAATGTATTGTGTATGGGACTTTTTTGGCGTGACAGTAGTTACCAAGATCATTTTCAAATTGGTCATAAACATTACAGATATCCTGTGGAAAACTGTACCAAGTAGCGTTTTTATATGTTCTTAAAAGACACTAAATCCATGCATGAACCCACACCAGCAGGAATTTGCGTATGGTACATCACAGATATCAAAACTGGATGCAAAACAGTCTATTGTGTAAAGGTAAGGCTCAACTTTATTTAGTAAGTGAGATTGGGCACAGTAATGCCCAATTTCATTTCTTCTTTTTACCCCTACCCCTTGTTTTCGAGTGTCACCCTAACCCCATGGAACTGAGTTACAAGGGGTAGTGGTTGAAATCTTGCCCTACGAAATGGGACAACCCTCAAATTAAAAAAAAACAAAATAAACAAAAAAAACATTAAGGTATATGGTATAAGACCATTATTTATTATCACCCACCACTAACTCTTTGGTGATATGAAGCTGAAGTCAGCTATTCACCAGCTTCTTGTTCGAATTTTTCAAACCTCACATGACTACACTGAGGAGATAGCTTGGGCAGAAATGTTCAGTATTGCACATAGCGTGCAAATTTTGCCCGCGTGCGACTACTGCCTTTTTTGTAGTTGCACACGATTAAGAGCTCTGTTACATATGGCTCGAGAGAATGTCTGTTACAGTCCTTCTGGTCAGAGTGGATCTTCAGCTCCATGGCATCAGCCCTCTGTACAGTCCACCTCAGCACTTTGCATGTGATCCTTACATAACCTGGCTTTATTGTGCTGAATTCTGCTCCAGTTAATAATCTCTATTTTTAGAACTGAGTCTTCCCCCTCCTTCCTATTCATGCTGAGAAGTGCTAATTCGGAGCCCTGTTGTTTCAGGGCTCAGCTGTCCCTAGTACCAGCGGCTTCATTAATTTGCTGAATGGTGCTACGTGTCGACCTCCAAATACTTACTTAATTTCTCTCCCTTCGACAGATTGAGGCAGCACTGAGTCGGATTCCGGGGGCTGGGGCCAGGGTCACCTTGCAGACAAGGCTAGACGAGGTATAGACAGGCCAGCTTGCTCTCTCCATCCATTCATATTTTATTTGAGCTGCGACCGATTTGTTTAAATGAAAACATTTCCTTTTTCCTCAGGTGACATTAGAAAATCGATTGGAGAAAGTGAACCGTGACTTGGGATCCATCCGCATGACTCTGAAACGATTCAACATCCTTCGCTCCTCTTCCAACATATAGCAGCAATCCTTTTTTCCTGTTCTGAGGATTGGGATGTTTTTCTTTTGAGTCTGATACAGGGCAGTCTTTTCCCCTCCACTGTACATAATCTAGTGTGTACATGTTCAATATTTCTACTTTTGTTATTGTAGGATATTTTTTATATGTTTTACTACATGGTAAAAAATCTCACATTTTTAAAGTATATATTTTAATAATACCCAGATTTGTAAAAAAAGAAATGTACTTTTTTATATCATGAAAATATGAAAATTGTATGCTTGACTCATTCAGGTTTTTTTCCCCTCTTTCTTTTCATTGTGCTGCTGATACAATGAATGACAATGTAGTCCAGAAGGGCAAATCATTTTCACTCTGTCTTAACTTGTTTTTTTATTCCAGTTGTACTTGAAATGTTTATTTATTCATTTTTGCCATGTGTTCATATAAAATGTTTTTTTATATTTTTGCTTTCTGAGTTGAGCCATTTTGCTTGTGAATATTTGATAAGTCAAATAGATTTTTGAGGCCTTGATAACTCACTTGATGAAGGTTCTGCTAAACCCTCACGCTCTTATCTACCTTTCTCACCTTCCTCTTCTTTTAGACATTCCAGCCATCGTTGCTTTTGCGACCTTTTCCACACCTCATGAAAATATTCAACCAGCACCGATTGTTTACGCACTATTTTACAAGGCGGACCCTTTTCAACATTTTGAGATCTTTGTGCAACTTGGAACGGAATGCCTTTGTAATGCATGGAAAAACTGAAAACAATTGCGATTTTAATGATTCCTTTTAACTGTAACAAATTAGGCTATTTCATTGTCCTTGTAGCTCACTGGAACTATTTACTCTTGCACCATGATGATCCTCAATAAAATACTGCATACTGGAAAAACAATGCTGGCAGCTGTGATGTATGGTGGTTCAGGGTGATGGGCGAAAGCCGAATGTGCCAGTTTAGCCAGTTTGACTAATTTTTTAATAGTAATTCCTGAGCAGGTACCAGAGAACAGAGATATTCATAAAATTACATCAAATATTAATGATACGTACAACACTACAAAACAACACATAAAATGAAATGAAAATAAGCATGATGCCAGCTGTTAGAATGATTATCATATTATGATGACACTTTTGATCATTTTTAATTCATGATTTTAAATTAGCTGAAAAAACTTTTATTATACATACAGTGAGAGCTGCTCTGGCTTAAAAAGCTGACTGCCCAAAGGACATCTTACTCATAGGTGTCCCACCATCTCCTCTGATCACTTAACTAGTAGATCTATTTTCTTAATTTATTCACTAATATGATCAGTTCATTCACAGCCAGTTATTTGAAACACAATGAATTCTGGATATTTCATTATTACTTAAATCTCAGCTTTTGCAGTCAGTCAGTACATTCTGTCAACAAGATGTAAACAAAGTAGCTAATTCAAAGTGGTTCAAGCTGAAATGGTCCATTCTGGAGACACTTAGGCGTCAGAATTATTTACAGTGGTGGTGCAGACTGGTTTGATGTGAAATGCTCCATTCTAGATAAACCTACAGAGTCAGAATTGTTCACAGTGGTGGTGATAGGAACCAAACGGCTGTCCGGTGTTTAAAGCCTCTATAAGCTCTCTTTACAGAAGGTTATTATATGTAATGGTTATATATATGCTACATGGTGTCTGTGACATTGTTTTATGATAGTTTTGTGATATAATTTTGGCTTAAATGTGTTTTAATCCATTCATGGCAGAGGTATACATGCAGGGCATTGTAAGGCAAAATAGCCCCCAAAGAAAACTTATTTTTTTCAGATTTAGGACTACTTTTCCATCAGCATTACTTATAATACTCAAGACACGTGTAGATTCACAGGTGGTTCACTGGTTGGATAGTAAATAAGATGGCTATATTTGTGTTGTAGACATCGTGACCCCTGATTCTTATCACCACCACTGTAAAGAAATCTGAGTCTTTAAGTTTCTTAACAGTGAATCACTTCACACCAAACTATTCTGAATGACTCTGTTTACATCTCAAGGACTGAATTATTCATAACTTTGGTGGAGTTCCTCTTTAATCGTCACTAGAGAGATGCTAATGTAAATCGTTTTCCACATGACAAACAGGTTTACAACCACTAGGGAGCACTAACAGCTTAAGAAACTTGGACGAAATGGAGTGAAGAGGGTGGACGAGGCTGACTGAAGAACTTAATCGTCACTAGAGAGGTGATGCTCTCACACTCGTTGAGGTGAATGACAACTAAGAGGATGAAACGCTGGGCACAGAGCGGCGGAAAGCTCATTTCAGAGAGACTCAAGTAGGCTGCACCAAACTTCACCTTACCCGCTGAGTAAACGCTCTGTGGGTTTGAAGTTTACGGAACCTTCAGCACCGAGTGCCGCACACACATTACTGCATTACAGCACATCACATCTGGAGCTGCGAGCAGGTCTGACCTGGACTACATAACACTCACTGTTTACGCCTGGCTAAATAAAACCACGAGGAAAGAATCCTGTGCCCTCCCACATGGAAGAGGATAAGCCGCCTAACGTTAGCTGCTGGGTTGTTGCCGAGCCAGCTACCTTTTTATAGTAGGCGAACGCGCGCTGCTAGCGAGCTGCTAACAGTTGGGACATTGCGTTTCTCTGGCTGCTAAACACCGACGCCGACCTCCCTCAGGATGTGCAGGAGCTAGCTTAGTTGGAAATGTGCCAAACGAATGGACATGCCTCACAAATAGTCCTCTAGAAAAGCCCCTTTTACAGTACAGGTAAGTGACTAAGCTATACGAACTGTTTTCTTACGCTGCGCTGTGGGGGGAAAGGAGAAACGGCAAAACTAGCCTAGCCGGCTAGCCATATGTAACGTTAAGACTGCTAACTTGCCCTACGCTAACGGTCACCTGCTAGCCAGCTCGCTGTTTTTGGACTCAAGAACTTGCCTGTTTTCACAAAACTTCAACGTTTACCAAATATGTTTATTAACCGTACATACCGTAACTCATATTTTGTTCTTAAATTTCTAGGTTAGTACTGGTAAGCTGTGCAAAGTGCAAGGAAAGGATCTAACATTAGATACCTCCACTTCTGCAAGGGGGCGGAGGCGGAATCAGCCCTGCTGGCTAACCGAGTTAGTAACTTGGGTATCTTGATAAATAATATTATTCGTTAAATGAGACATTTATAGTCAAAGGAAAAGTGGAGTTTGGATCCTGGGGAAAGTCTTTGGTAGCTACTCACCTGAGCCCAGATATACCCAGGTACTTAGCTAACTAGTGAACTTAACGTTAACTGGATGCTGATGTCCTTTGACTGCTTAAGCTGAGGTCCACTATTCAATCAGCATGGTTTCATCTCAGTCCGTCTCTGTCATTATCTGCCTGTTTAAGAAGAGGCACAACCAAAAAAAAGAGCAGAAAGTGTTGGGCTAAATAATACCAGGCGCCCTTGCTTAATGATTTAAGCTCCAACCTCAAAGGCAAGTCAGGGATCTGATGTGAAGGTAAATACTTTGCTGTCAGAAGATATGGAAGAGCTTTATGAATCCCCGGGGTGGATGCAGGTAGGCTACGTCCGTCCGGTCTCATCTCAGGTGATGTGTGGCTGTGTGAGGTGCAGGATTTTGGGTTCATGCTATCATTCTGTGTCATGGTGATTCATGTCTCTGCCATGTTGAGAGTCACAGTGTGCTGCCTAGCTGTTAAAGATAGCAGACCTTTTTGGTTGTGCATACTAAGCACCTGAGGCTGTTGGGTTTCCAGGCCGAGAAGGCTCAGATCTGCTCCTTTCAAAGTGCTTCAGAGTCTTAAAGGGGTCCATGTTTGTATTAACATATACGCCAATCAGATAACATTAAAACCACCTCCTTCTATCTGCGCTCACTGTCCATTTTGTCGCTTCCACTTACCATATAGGTGCACTTTGTAGTTCTGCAATTACAGGCTGTAGTCCATCTGTTGCTCTGCATACTTTTTTATCCTTTTTACCCTGTTGTTTAATGGACAAGACCACCACAGAAAAGGTATTTGGGTGGTGGATCATTCTCAGCACTCCAGTGACATTGATGTGGTGGTGGTGTGTTTGTGTGTTGCGTTGTGCGAGTGGATCAGACGCAGCAGTGCTGTACATTGTTGACTTACAAATTCCCGTGTGCATAGTACAGTCTTAACTTGCATTTGTGGATGCAGGGATGATCAGTGTTTATTGACAACGGTTTGGCAAGGTGTTTCTGAGCTCATGTGCTGAGATCCAGCACAGTAGCATTGCCTGTTTTTTATGCAGTGCAGTCTGAGGGGTTGAAGGTCATGGGCTTTCATTGTGGTTTTGGCCTTGCTTTTTATGTATGGAGGTTTCTCCAGATTACCTGAATGTTTTGACGTTACTATGCACTGGAGAGGGTGAAATATGTAAGATCCTTGCAACCCCTTGTTGAGGAACATGCATTTTTGGTGAAGTGGCAAGCCTCAACCCTTCCTTGCTCATAAAGGACCTTTACTGAATTCTCTTTTTATATACAAGAATGATTCAATCACCTGTTCAAGATGTTTTTTGAACATTTTACAATGTTTCTAATCTTAAATTGCCCCCGTCCCAACTTTTTTTGAAACACATTGAGGCAGCAATTTCAGAATGAGCGTATGTTTTCAAAGTTAATTCGGTAAAACAATAAATATCTCGTCTTTGTGCTGCTTAAATAGGGGTTGAAGCAGAGTTATAAATCACTGCTTTATGGTTTTATTTACATTTAACCAACTGTTTTGTAGTTAAACAGGCTGTCTGTGTCACTGTGCCTTTCAGACGGTATGTATATGAGTTCTGTTCTAATGGGTTGCCTTGTGCCTCATTCAGAAAGCAGTCTGGTATGAAATGCTTCTTGTAGCTTCAGTGTGAATGGACAGGGCTAAACTGCTGTTGGCGAAATAGGCGGATGCCCCACTCATCCTACTGATCAATCAAACTAGGCGCTGAATGATAACTACAAATACTGGGCCTCCTCAAGAAGTTTGGAAATGGTAAACAAACAGATCAATGTATGTAATTGCTACTTATTATATTAATGTTATTTGTATTTATTCTTATCGTTTTTCTGAGCACAAATGCTTACTGGCTAAATAAATAGCTTTTAATTCTGATTTTTTTAGGTGCCTAAAACTTGCACAGTACTGTACATGTGTGTTCATCGTATTCTGATGGTATCACACAAACATAATGCCACTATTTTGGTAGGCACTTGAGAGTGTAGAGGCAGTTTATTATGAGAAAAATAAAGCCATAACTGATCCAGAAAAGCCAGTAAAACACTTTTTTTAATTTGCAAAACTCAGTGCAAAACTATTTTTTTAGTGTATGGATTTTTAAGTGTATTAATCAATATATTTGAGTGTTCTATAATTAAGTGATATATTTTATTTGATTTCCTGTTGTAGTGATAACAAATGAAATCTGAAATGTAAACGGCTGAGATTTCCCGCTACGTTATTATTGCCAAGTCCCATTAAAATTGCATTAGAAGTGCACTCATTAGTGTAATAGGTGAAGCATCGAAGTGTGTGGTTTGGGATGCAGCATTAGATCAGTCAGTGAGCTGCATTCAACAGTCTAGCGGCTCTTGTGGTTGATTATAGTTCTGCTGTGTCCCTTGTTAGCTGATCATTAAACATAAAGGATGCATTTTTTGTGGTAAACTAATGCATTTATTAAGGTAAGCTGATGTCAGCTTGGTACTTGCCTGCTTATTGTTTGAAATTCGCTCTACGTTAAAGGCACTTCAGTGTAGCTGTAGCACCAGTTAAGGTGGAATGGAAAAATCGAATAAGAAGCTAACTTTACTTTTATATATGTATAAGTTTATTATTTAAGATCTTTGGCAGTTTTTCGTGGCCACTTTTATTAATTTTTGTAAAATCTCATACACCGGAATCTTCTAAACTTGATATGCATTGCTGTTTGGATCAAGTCCACCAGTCTAGCTAATCTTCTCCCCCATAGCATTTTTTGGACTCTGCATCTAAAATGTCCACATATCTTTGTGTTTTTCTTGATCATTCTGGTCTGTTTTGCTTGATCTTCATCTGCCTGCAGGGTTGTAGCTGCAGCAGCAGTGATGAGACGAGCTCTATCAGAGTTACAGCTTGCCTACTAAAATGGTGACGGGGTGTTTTCAGTGATGTAATTAAATACTATAAATTCTTTTTTGTGACCTCACAAAGACAATGAATTCAAAACGGCCCATTTTTTGCGGCTTAGTTTCTAGAAATGAACTGGGAGTGGATGGTATGTGTTGACTTTAATAATATTTGCATGCTACTTAAAACATTTATTTAAAATAAAAGAAGAAAAATAGTTTTCAGTTTTGCATCTTCAAACCAAGTGCAGATGGCTGTTGTGCCATGAAGTTTTTTTTAGTATTGCTGATTGTGCTCGAGGGCAAATGGTTCATGCGTCAGTGTTTTTTGAGAAGAATGCTCAATTCACCACCCTAAGTGGTGTAAGAGTTCTCATATCCTGATATTGTCTTGAGTTCTTATTATGGCACATTACGTATTTCACAATGTGTGAAACATGTCTGTGTGTTATGTTAGAAAGCGATGTGGTGCTTTAAGTGGTCCATATTATGTAAAACCTATTTTTCAATTTTTTTCAATAAGACTTTGATATAATGTGTAAACAAAAAGGTTAAAACTCCAGTCCATACAGTCCTTATATGGAAAGTAAGATGCAAAAACAGGCTGTTGTGAATTTATTATTTTTATGTCATAAAAAACCAAGACATTGACATATATTTACTTATTCATTTACTTATTATAGTAATTAATCCCCACCCATTCAAGTTGAAGTTATAACGGGTTATAAGTTATAATTGTAGCACGTTGTATGTTAAACTCAGCAAAAAAAAATAAAATATGTAGAAATTGTGCACTAAAATGTGCAAAACTTTTAAGTTTGGACCTATTTAAGTAGGTTCCCTGTTGAGAAGTTCTTACTTGTAATTTTGTCAGGAGTGTTCCAAACTTTTTATGACTGTGTGTGTCTTAAAAGCACAATAACAAAAACAGCCAGCTTAATTCTAAGACATGAAGAGAGGCGGCTAATCGTCATGTAAAAATGAATTATCACTGTTTTTTTGTTACATAAAATCACACAAATGTTATTGTTGGACTTCAGGGAACAAAATTTAAGAAACATGGAGGATGTATTGAAGGATATGAGCTCTTCAAGGTAATATTTGGTGTTTTTTGTCTCAGGATTTCAAGCTCAGCAATGTTTCAAGCCCAGCACTGTTCTGTATTGATTGTCACAAAGCTACACCCACGCTGACTCAGACGGTCCAAAGTGATATCTTGTAATGTGAGCAGTTTCCTGACGTAAAGATTTTCAGTCATATAGTGTATCCCCAGCCTGAGTCTTCTCTTCGCCTTGGTGCAGTTTCTCATCCGATGCTAGATTCAAAACATTCTTCTCTTCTGCTTTACAAGCCTGTTATTTTATGTCCTTGAGTCCCTGAGTGTTTTTTTTCCTTGTTTCCCCTCACACCACGCCCAGCAATGTTAAGACTGGCTTTATAGTCTGTGGTGTTCTTCTCAAGCAGAACGCAAAAAAAAGAAACTTCTCAGTATTCAGTTATAATGCAGAAATGATTAGGTTTGTCCTTAATGAATCCTTTTATGAAGCAGCTGTCGTAGCAAGAATGAGTCACAGTATTGATTGCCTTCCACTCTCCCACCCCAGCCCGAGGAAGCCTTGCTAATAGCTGGCAGGCACAAGGAGGGAG